AGTTCTGACTGGTTATTATTTTCCATCAAGTGGAAAGGAGGACCTTGCATTGGAAACACTGTTTCTATCGATTCGATCGGATTCAAAGGACTTATGTCTTCAGGACTCTCCCATGGGCGTACAACAAGGCACGAATGTAACTGCGTTCCCAAGCGGCTTGAATGTGGCGGCAACTCTTGATAAAGACCTCATGGAGGAATATGGGAAAGCACTGGGAAAAGAATTTCGCGCGCTCGGTATTAATGTATTTACAAGTCTCCTTTCACGCGTGAAACCCCTACTCAACACACTTGACAAAATCAAAGGTTCAATTAGGGTCCAGGTCTTAACCTTCTACGCGCTCCAGCAGGCAGGTAAGAAACTGGGAAGGTCCAGGCGGAGATCCGTACCTTGCTTCTATATCTTCAAGTCTTATTGTCCGTGGGATACAATCAAATGGCGTGATTGCAACAGCAAAGCATCTCATTGGTAACGAGCAGGAAATGTTCCGTGAGCGATCTTCTTCGAATATAGACAAGAAAACTCTGATGGAAGTGTACATGGCGCCATTTGATGTAAAAGAAAGCAACATTTTTCAGTTTCAACTTCCTAACATTGGCTTGAACGACTACACGATTAAAAATAGGCATGCATCCGAGAAGGAGTCGGGCGCCATCATGTGCTCATACAACAAACTGAATGGAATATATACATGTGCAAACTCTGAACTCGTGAATGGCATCATTAAAAGTCCTGATCTGGATTTTCGGTGAAGCAGGAATATTAAGATTAAGCTTTGTCTGAATATTAAACTTGAATATTCCCTTATACCCCTTAGTGGTATTATCATCACTGACTGGTTTTCAAAATACGACTTCATGGTGTCTGACTTAATCATGCCTGGAGTTCGGAGAATCCCTCTGGCATGGTGGAAATGGACGCCGTATCTCTCTCATATTCCTATTCATCGGACAATTTTTCGCCTCATATCAAACAATTCCCGGACGATCGCTTAGATGATATGGTTACACGTATTTTAAGCACTTACTACCATTTTGGTCAAGACATTGGGTTCCCCAATACCACTGTGGACACATTCACGGAAAAGAAAAAAGGAGTGAGTAACCGCGAATACAGGTTTAAGGAAAACGCGGACGTTGCAAAGAGGGTGGCATGTTGCTTCAACTGTGGTTGTGAAAAATACTGGAGTTTTGCCATTGAAGGATTCGACGAGTTTGAAATTGGCTATTCTTGGAGAGGATGCGCGAGCGCCTAAATTGTTGAATGAATTTCCCATCCATCAAGGGATGGATGGGACACTTGCGCAAGGTTGGGGTTCGGGAACAGCTCTCTTTCCATATCTTATTTCAGTGAGTTCCCTACTTTTTTTGTAGGGTTATTTCTATTTCTTTTTCATCTCCGCTGAATGGAATTTGTTCTTTTTTGCCGAACTCAAGCCCTTCGAAGGAATCTCTGAGCGGGCTGTTGAATCCAAGATTTCGTCAATGTTTGACAACAATGATATTCACCAAGCACAGCAACTAGCCAATGAAGCGAATGTTGCGATTGTTTTCGGAAGCGCGAATTCTGGAGAGCTTATTTTGGCAGCAATGAACTTTGTGGAAGGGAACTGGGGAGATCGAAATGACTTGAAGTTATGGCACAATGCTGACGCTCTCGTATGTGCCTTCTTTTCATCCCCAGAAAAAAAATGACTGATTTCCAAAAAAGATTGAAGCCGTTGCGGCGGTCAACAAGCAAACCATTGTTGTCCTCCACACAGTTGGTCCTGTTGATATGCCTTGGTTCAATCACCCCAACATAACTGCTGTTATTTACGCGCTTCTACCTGGTCAAGAATCGGGATCTGCATTAGCCGATGTAATTCCGTCTTCTTATTTTTTGTTTCTGTTTTATTCACAAAATTGTGACTGAATTGCATTGCTTTTTGGTATATTTCAGATTCTCTTTGGAGACAGCAATCCCTCTGGCAGACTACCTTTCACCGTTTTCGAAAATCGAACACAGTATGCTGCCGATGTCCAGTACTGGTCTCACCAACTCACACCACAAATCGATTATTCCGAGGGCCTCTATATTGACTACCGCCATGCGGAAAGATTCAACATAACTTCTGTGATTCCTTTCGGCCATGGGCTCTCGTACACCCGGTTTCAATATTCAGACCTGCAAGTTTCTACCATCGTTCCTCACGATTCTTCCACTGAGTTCCCAGATATTCATGTCTCTGTCTTGATTGAAAACAAAGGACATGTCCCCGGACATGAGATTGTCCAACTTTATATAGCCTATCCTGAACCGGCTGGGCAACCAAAGCAGATTTTGAAAGGATTTGAGAAGGTGTGGGTGGAGGTTGGTAAATTTGTAATGGTTGAATTCCATTTGACTCCGAGGGACTTGAGGGTTTGGGATACTGTTTTGGATGGGTGGGTGAATGTTCCGGGAGAATATGGTTTTGGAGTTGGGGCTTCGAGTCAGGACATTCGTTTGAAGATACGAAAAATTGTTCCGACTTAGAAGCTTAAAAGAATTCCCACCTATACATAAATCATAAAATAAGTTTATCCACGAGTGGTTAAACGACAAACTCGGATGATGATTCTGGGAGCACCAAATCATAACACATGGTTAGTCTGTTTGTAAAGAGCCTCAATGACAATACCCAGGTCTAAAATAAGTCAAATACTACAACACAATAAGAATTCTGCCAAGACATCAAAAAACGTGTTCATCTCCTAATGAAATTTTTAATGGCTGTTAAGAAAAGTGGAATAGGGATAGTCCACTGATCCGTGCTTCAGCATAAACCAGAAAATCCATCGTGCTGATATTCTGGCTGAAATCGATTCAGCAATGTAGGCATATACACTGGAAACCACGTGGTCACGTGCCATATTTAATCAAGATAGTGGTTTTTGGATGTTCTTCTTGGCTGGAGCCTGAAAATTTCTTTCCAAAAAATGAAATAGGCTGTATTATTCGCCACTGTCGCTGGAGCTACCAGCTTAAGCGCTAGTACAAGAAAAGATTCGGATACGCTGTTTCCACCATACTACCAACCGCCTAGCAAATTGGTACCAGTAGCCCATATTCAAGCAAGACTCTTGGAAAGAGCAAGCGAGGCTCCAAATTCCGCACCGGTTATCGCTACCAATACGTTAGTTACTGGACTTGGTTTGACGGCAAATGATGTTCACGTATCTCATGAGTAAGAGAGAGCTTTTTACTTTCTGACCGGATAGCTAATAAATTTCTTCACCAGGCACTTTGACGCTGACACCGGTCTTCACCATGTCCATTTCACCGAAATTTTTCAAGGGTTGCCAATCGCAAATGCAGTCGCAAATGTTAATCTCGACGCATCAGGATCCGTGGTCTCCATCTTTCAGAGTTTCCCGCCATCTAAAGTTGTTCGCCGTGCAGCAAGGGGCGTGCGCGACGGCAGCCCAAACATTTCGATTATTCAAGCTATTGGGATTTTCGCCAAAGCAAAGGGACTGCCATTCACGGATGATCTCGTTGTAACTCAGAGTGCTCTCAATGAATAAGTTGTCACAGGAGCTAAATTTGCAAGAATTCCCATCAAAGCTTCAGAAAAGTACTACCAAACCGCCCAAAGCCTTGTGAGGGTGTGGGATTTCAACGTTCTTATGCGGGATGATTGGTACCTTAAGTGGTTTAGTGTGAAAATTGAACTCACCATTTTCTTACAGGCTGAATGTGTTTGTCGACTCCAAGACGGGTATTGTTGTTGGGGCAACCAGATGGAAGTATGACTTCACAGAACGGTCGGATACTCCAGACAGCTCGTACACGGTTCTTCCAATTGGAGCAATGGATCCGTCTAAATCTCGTTTCATCAAAGTCAAGAATCCTGCTGATCTCAGGGCAAGTCCTCTTGGGTGGCATTCTGGAACCGACCTAACCGGTCCTAATGCGCGCGTGCGCTCCGATCCAACCTACGTTGACGACGTTGATACTTTGTATTATGCTCCTGGGAATATCAGTGATCCAAATCTGAATTTTAATTTCAAGTTTGATGCTACCAAAGGAACAGATTTCCCTTCAAACATCAATGCCGCCAACACCAATGCCTTTTATGTGACAAATGCCTACCATGATATACTTTACGGCTATGGCTTTACTGAGGCGGCTGGTAACTTTCAGGATCAAGACCCAGTTCTGGTGCTGACCCAGAGTGGACAACATTCGACTCCCCCCTATCGATGCAATGCTGGATTTTATGTTGGTCCCGACGGCTTCCATGGTATAGTGGAAGTGTATGTTTGCGCGAAATCTGACCCAGATCGCGACCTCAGCTTAGACAACGGAATGCTCGTAAGTTCATTTTGAATCATATTAATGGTAACATGCTGAAAAGGGTTTAAAAATAATAATTAGATACACGAGCTCACTCACGGTCTGTCGAACAGATTGACTGGTGGAGCTAGGGATGGAAATTGTCTCGAGACCCTTGCTTCTGGAGGTCTTGGCGAAGGGTGGAGTGACATTTTTGCATTCATTCTATCTCTACCAGGCGATTTCACACGTCAAAGTGATTTTTGTTGCCAATCACGAATAAAGAGAGCTTGCGATCGGAGTGGGTGATTTGCTGGGCCATCGTGGCGGAAGAAGGAGTGCGTGCTTTCAAGTGTCTTGCAGATTTGTCGTCAACAAACAAAACGCGTCTGCGCTCCATCCGCGGGACCACCGCACGCCATTCCAGCAGACGCGCTGACATTGCGGGATCTAATTTCGAGACTATCCGATACTATATCGCGATTTAAGTTACTGGTCCGACGTTTGTACGGCAGCCCGAAATCCCTGTCAAATACGCGAATTACTCCCAGTACCCCACAGCTCCGCCATCAGTTTTACCCCAAAGTCAGTCCACAGCTCATCGAACCAATCTATTTACAGTTAGCGCTGTCAGTCATTGTCGCTCCGGACTGGTTTCGATGCAACCTAGTGTACACGCAACCTATTATGGTACATATACAGCTCCGATAGCTCAGTCGTTAGAGCACCACTCTGGAATCGTGAAGGGGCGGGTTCAATTCCCCCGCAGCGCACCATCTATCATGTGTGTGGATCCTAGTATCGGCTGGCACGCGGACATTCTCCGCCTCAGCCCTGTTAGCTCATGGTTGAGCGTCACCCAGCTACGTGGGGGTCGGTGGTTCAACTCCACCTTGGAGCTTTTACTATCCACTCCCTCATCTTTACACTTCTACTTTGGGACTTTTTCCCTTACCTTCTCCACATATTCTACCTTCACCTCCACATTACTCTTGCCGTCTTCTTTCACCGGTGTCATCCAGGCCTAGGCACTTGCAGCCCCAACGCCTGTACTCCATGGTAGGGCCCGGTTAGGCGCCACATGTGGGGTCCCTACCTCTGTAGACTCCCACCGGTGATTCTTTCATCTGCTGCCTTCTTGACTACGTGACCTTTGACGCTGTGATGCTGTGGGTGCAATTCTGCGCCTATCCATGTATCCGTCTCTGTGTTATTAGTCAATAAATTCAGTCGACTTTATTCTTTCTTGGCTCAAGCACTCTGGGTGAAGCTGTTCGATGGTTGTTGCCAATCACGAATAAAGAGAGCTTGCGATCGGAGTGGGTGATTTGCTGGGCCATCGTGGCGGAAGAAGGAGTGCGTGCTTTCAAGTGTCTTGCAGATTTGTCGTCAACAAACAAAACGCGTCTGCGCTCCATCCGCGGGACCACCGCACGCCATTCCAGCAGACGCGCTGACATTGCGGGATCTAATTTCGAGACTCCCACCCACCACGCCTCGCTCTCATTTGGAAATACCCTTATCGGCTACGCTACCACTCCTCTACTAAGCTTTGTGCATGCTCTTGAGTTGCTAAACAACCTCCATCCTCCTCTCTCAACAACGCCTCTTCCAAAAGTACACACTTGTTTCTTCTTCCTCCTCTACTATTTGTTGTGTGCGCTCTTGAGTCGCTAAACGACCTCAACGACGCATTTTCTAGAAACGCATACTTGTTTCTCTCTGCCTCTTCCTTCCTCCTCTACTATTTTTTGTGTGCGCTCTTGAGTCGCTAAACGACCTCAACGACGCATTTTCTAGAAACGCATACTTGTTTCTCTCTGCCTCTTCCTTCCTCCTCTACTATTTTTTGTGTGCGCTCTTGAGTCGCTAAACGACCTCAACGACGCATTTTCTAGAAACGCATACTTGTTTCTCTCTGCCTCTTCCTTCCTCCTCTACTATTTTTTGTGTGCGCTCTTGAGTCGCTAAACGACCTCAACGACGCATTTTCTAGAAACGCATACTTGTTTCTCTCTGCCTCTTCCTTCCTCCTCTACTATTTATCGTGTATGCTCTTGAGTCGCTAAACGACCTCAATGATGCCTTTTCTACAACACACACACTCGTTTCTCCTTCCTCCTCTACTATTTATTGCGTACGCTCTTGAGTCGCTAAACGACCTCAATGACGCATTTTCTAAAAACGCACACTTGTTTCTCCTTCCTCCTCTACTATTTATTGTGCACGCTCTTGAGTCGCTAAACGACCTCAATGTTGCCTTCTAAAAACACACAGTTGTTTCTCCCTGCTCCTTGCTTGTCGTGAATGCTTTTGAGTCGCTAAACGGCCTCACCACTCCTCTTCATACACTTTTCTCATTCAGTGCCACATACGTGGGTGTCTCCCAGGGTGCTATACAACCCTCTCTCCCCTTTACGTAAGCATACTCCAATCTCTTCTATCGCATTGCTGTTCCATGTAGAACAAATCTCTTGAGTTGCTAATCGGCCTCAACGATTTGTCTTTCACTGGTACACAATTGATTTACCACCCACTCATCTCACGCTCAAAGCTCCGTGTCAAATTGCTTTTTGAAGAGGCGCCACATGTGGGGTCCCTACCTCTGTAGACTCCCACCGGTGATTCTTTCATCTGCTGCCTTCTTGACTACGTGACCTTTGACGCTGTGATGCTGTGGGTGCAATTCTGCGCCTATCCATGTATCCGTCTCTGTGTTATTAGTCAATAAATTCAGTCGACTTTATTCTTTCTTGGCTCAAGCACTCTGGGTGAAGCTGTTCGATGGTTTTCTGGGACAATGGTCTTTCAACGGCGGTCCACGAGGAATAAGATGGTACCCGTACTCCACAAATCTGACAACAAACCCGCATCTTTATGGAGACTTGAAAACTCTAAATGAAGTACACAATATGGGAGAAGTCTGGGCAGCGATGCTGTACGACATCTTGTGGAATATGGTAGACGTTGCTGGCATTACTCCAGCTGCAAACATTGGAAAGCAGAACAAGGGAACAGCAGGAAACACGGCACTCCTGAAGATTCTTGTAGCGGGTATGAAGATTCAGCCATGCAACCCATCAGTTATTCAAGCTAGAGACGCAATTATAGTGGCCGAAAATGTTTTGTACAAGGGAAAGTTCAAATGCGCTATCTGGAAAGGATTCGCCAAACGCGGATTGGGGATTAATGCGGATGAAATGTTTACAAATAGCATGGATATCCCCGAAGATTGCCGTCCTGTCAACGATGGAGACTCATGCTCAAACCTTGCTGAGACACGTTGTTGGGACGGAGTAACTTCCCAATGTGCCTACTATAATTCGTTTAAATTGACATGGAAAGTTTGGTATAAGGGGGGTTGTTGATGGTTTAAGGCCTGTTTTCTATGGTTTGCAAAATAAAGTTCCTTATTCTTTGATGATTGAAACTGTACGGATCATGAAACTGTACGGAATTAAATGCGGCAAATCAAGCACTTGATTGACATAGGGGCAAGGCTTTAAAATCAGGCATTTATTGCTTCAACGGTTTCAACCCCAGAGAAATACGCATCTTGTTGGTTTCTTCAATCGACATGCTTTCACGACTTCCCCCACCCGCTGTTTCATCCCCGCCTCCGCCGCTGCTACTATCCTTTGAGTCCCCGCTTTTGCCAGACTTTTTGAACAATGCATTCACCTTCTTTGATGAATACTTTTTCTTCTTCTTTTCCAAATCGTCTGCAGAGGATAAGGGCGGTTCAAAGGGCTCGCCGATCTCTTCCCCAACTGGACGACTGTCTCTTTGGTTGTCTTCCCGCCCCCTATCGGCTCTATCCACATCGCGACGGCGATAATCTCGATCATCATCATCGTATTCCCTCCTCCTGTCGCTTCTGTAGTGAGAATCATCGCGGCGATCACGATCTCGGTCCCGACGATCCAAAGATCCATCTCGATCGTAGTATGGACGCCTTTCTCGGCTGTCTCTTCTTGAATAACGATCCCCACGATCCCTGGAGCGATCGCGACTTTTGTTTCTGGTGGCCCTGTCTGATTCCCTTCCATATCGATTCGAGGATAGTTCCTCTCCGCGAGAATGGGGACGAGACTGATTGCGTTGCGAGGTAGGTGTGTCGTTTTCCTTGATGAGAGGTTTGCTTTCAATTGTCTCGCCTTCTTCTTTGGTAGAAGTGATTTCTGACTTGCGGGTAGTGCTTTGCCCTGTTTCATTACCAGAAGTTGCCCTTGTTTCTACATCGCCCTTTTCAGAATCCATTTCCATTGCGCCTTCCTCCTTCTCCTTGTCTCCATCCTCTTCTACCTCATCTTCATCCATGAAGTCTTCTTCCAAAGGTGAAATTCGTTCTTCCAAATCTTTGGCTTCCACCAAGACGGACCGTTTGGTGATTCGAGGAAGAATAATTTCACAAACACGGTCGCTTCTGAGTAATGTATCCGCGAATTCATCCATATATGAAAGATAATAGTTTCCCTCTACAGTGTCGAATAAAAAGGGTTGTATTAGATGGATGGCCATAAAAGAATGAAAGTCGACACGCTTCAGCGATATAAAAAATCGGTTATGCGCACTCACGAGCATCACGCATCCTCAGTTTTCTTTTATCCAGTAACAGAGGCTCCAGGTACTTATAACAATCAACAGATTTAAAAGTCAATCGAATGTAGAAAGCAGCGAGTGCAGTCAGGTACTTGTGGTCTTCATTTTGCAGATAAACAGCGATGATAGACTTTTCCGGCTGCAGCTGAAGTAGCCGCATTGTGAGGCAGAGAAACTCTGTTGGTTTTTGCATTCCAAACTGACCACCGATTGATTTGAGGTCGATGGCTTTGTCCACGATAGTTTCAGCTTTTTAACAAGAGGGACGGGGTTTAAGATGACCTTGGATGTTGTGTAGTTTGAATGTGAGACTGCGGGTTTAACTTACCACTGAGGGCAAAACAGTGCTCTTTCCAGTAAACAGACTCATGTATTCGAGAGCGGATGATCTTTTCAATCAAGTTTTGTGGATCTTGGCCATGTATTGTACCTGCTTCGACCCCATCTTGCTTTTGAAGTTAGTTTAGGTTGGGTTGGCTCTGCAAAAAACAACTCACCAACAAACGACATTTCAGGCAACAAATATTATAATAATATATACTGCAGTGTATACTTGAGAATAATATGAATAAGACAGAGAATTAGAAATCACGGATAAAATGCTGTCACAATTTGCGAAGCGACTTTTTTCAAATCATCGAAACACCCGAAACATATCAAACAGTACGTCTTTTTTTTCTGCCTTCGGCCCAGCAGCCAGTCTCTCATCACAGGATTACTAATTTCACCATACCATACCATGCAGCAGCAATGGGCGCCGAAGGAGATTGTCGAAGCGGGCATTGCCGGCAACAAAGTGATTGTGTTCTCCAAGTCGTACTGCCCGTACTGTGTCAAGGCCAAGAAGCTGCTCTCCAGCTACCAGGCGGTCTTTGAGGTGCTCGAGCTCGACCAACGCGACGACGGCGACGCCATCCAGGCGTATCTCGCGCAGAAGACGGGCCAGCGCACTGTGCCAAACATCTTCATTGGCGGCAATCAGATCGGCGGCTGCGACGCGCTGCACGCCCTCGACGCGCAGGGAAAGCTGAAGCCGCTGCTGTGAGGCGTTGATGTGCGATGGCGCGATCTGTGATGCGAATTCGATCGTGGATTCGTCAATAAACTATTTACAACGTCAGCTGTTTAATATTCTGCCGCATTGCTTCGCTGTCCTTCTCGTACGCCCTTC